CCATCGATATGCTATGTTGTATCCTATTCATATTAATTAATAATTTATGACTTGTTCCCTTTTTTTTTAAAAAAAAGCCAAGGATGAAATTATCACTTAAAATAAAAGGAATGAGGGAAAAAAAAAACCGAGATTAAATTCGTTCCACAACTTTCTATGGCCTTTAGCAATGCGCGTTGAGATTCATTTAATTTGGTATTTGACAAAATTTCGACGGTCGCGAGTATACCTATCAGGGCAACAAATTACGCCGATTTCTTAACTTAAAAATCAAATTTATGAAACTACAGATCGATTTAAAATATCTAAACGAGAGCCTTTTTTTTTTTAAATCGTCTTAATTCCGGAATAATTAATTTGATAATATTTCCTCACCATGCAAAGGCTTATCAATATATTCAATGATAAAATGTTTGAGTATTAAAAAATTAGTTTTAATTCATCATTATAGAATGAATTGAGTTTTAAGCAAGACATACCGTTCGCAATTCTGAAAAATAAAAATATGCGTATTTATGTATAGCATTCACATAATATTATGAATGAAACATTTGTATAACATTATGAATTAAATAACAAAAATTACCGAGATTTAAATATTTTTATATTTACAATAAAGTCAAAAAACATCAACAATTATTCATAATTTCTTACCGTGACTGACATTGGAAATGAACATGGACTTTGCGGTTTCTGCGGACCTCGCCTAAATTAAACCGGATTATACTTGTAAAATGGACACCGATATATTTTTTTAAGATACAGTTAATACAACGATACCTCATCCAGGGATTTTTGCATGCGTTCGTGATTATATTGGAATTCTTGCTCATAAGCAACCTTTTGGAGTCATGTATATAAGTCAATTAATTACATTGATGAAAAACGATGTAAATTTGTTTACAGGTACTCACGAATAAAAAGTAAACAAAGCATAATATATAGATATCACAAATAACCCAGCCAGTGGCTGACAACGATATTGGAGTCTCTTTTCCAATGGATCTAACAAATATGATAGAGCAATAAATAAAAGGATATAATAATATTTGTATCAACTTATCACACTAATAATCATGGTATCATTCAATTGATCACAAACACTCACTGAAAAAACGAAATCACATATATCACACAAACTATAATTGTGGTTTTTCTTCCAAAACTCTTGGAAACAAATATATATCTTTTTTTTAAAAAAAAAGGGAACAAGTCATAAATTATTAATTAATATGAATAGGATACAACATAGCATATCGATGG